CATAGTTTTCTTTTTATTTCTTATAGAAGAATTGAAAGCCGGTCATTTGGTACATGGTAGTGTTAATAACTAAGAAACTAATAAAGGAATTCTCTTCTCTCTTTCCTAAAATCCTTATTTTATTATGTGAAGCATAACACGACAGCCGAGAAATACTTAAAAATTTTGTTCCCTTGGATTCGAAGTGTTGACGGACGTTTCATTTACCTTTAATTTCTGATTTTCGTTTCGTTTTGATTTTATTTTTACAGCGATGGGTCACGCGAAAGATCAGGAGACCGCAGACCCATTGAAAATCAGTGGGAAAGGCCGCGCTTGTGTCACGCGAAAAAAGTTTTCCCCGTAGTGCAAGAAAGACGGGGAGAAACGTCCGAACAGAGAAACAGATAGGGAAAAGTAAACAGGAGAGACGAGAGTAAAACGAAGAACCAGAAGAAGGAAGGAAACGAGGAGGCAGGGAGAGAGAGAGAGAAAGAGACAGCGACTTATCTTGTAACCCTGAATAAAAAAATAATGGGTTGAACTCTCGCATCGCGTTCTTTTTTTTCTTCATTCTCGAGCGGAAACTAGAATGAGCCCGGAGGAAAAGCAGAAGGAAAAATAACGATGCCGATGAGAACATGCCCCAGCACGGAGACGGTATCGTGCGTCTTCTCAGACAATGCTGAACCACTCCGAAGATCGCGATCCCACGGATTTTCGCATCCCGCGGGCAAGATAAGCTAACGAAAAAGGTTCTCCCTTTTTTTCTGAAAGTTGTGACACGGTGCCAGTGCAGTGCGGATTTCCTCTTTTCCCTTTGTTTCGTGTTTTCGTCCGGGTGATCGCGGTGTTGTTTCGTGCTTCCCAGTTCTTCGCTACCACGAGGATCGTTTATAGAAATTCTAGTAAACCGTCTTTCAATGAATATAAGTAGCTCTTCAACTTTTCACCGTTCGTTTCGTTCTTCGTTTGTGAAATTTCTTTTTTAATTTCTAATCTCGCCGACCGACTATTCGTCACGTGAAACAGTAAAGAATAGCCAGTTGTTCGATCGACCCGATAAAAATAAAAACCGACGAAAATACGCGTCTATCGGCTTGTTAAACATTTCTGTCCGACCGGATCCTCGAATCGGAACGTCACCGAGTACAATAAGGATCGATAGAAAATAGAAACGTGTCACGAGAAGCGTAATAAAGAATCCGCGTGTAATCGTATCAGATTGAATAATAGTCGGCTCAAGGCTACCGAAAAGCGTTGCCCCCGGCCAGCGTCTGGAGGATAACGAGAATCGCGCGTATGTACGAGCGAACGGGAGCGCGATGCCTGATGTCTTCGAAGACGTTTCGGAGCCGAGAGATCGATTGATAAAACGCGTTCTGACCGGGCCGTGGACGTGCCGAAATTGTTCATCAGTCGCCCGCGGACAGTTTCATTGAGAATCCGCCGTGGAGTGACGGCCAGTGACCTCGGTTCCACCGCTTCGTATCGCAAGGAATGCTTTCTCCAAAACGTGGCATCGCAGAACTCGGCGACTCCGTTCGGAAGGTATTATCGTCTTCGTACTTTCCGTCGTTCGACCTCTGGTGAATCGGTTCAAACGAAGAGGAAACAATATGTAAAGCAGAAATGCTCCAGGTGAAAAGCTACTCTCGTTTATTAAACAGAAGAAGGAGATAACTCAAAATGTCCTGCGGATGAAGTGGAACAGATTATGAGGCGATTTGATTAACAGGCGAAAAAGAACTGTGATTGAGGAACTCCTCGAGTTCATTCAATTTTCTGAACATCGATGATGCGTGCGACCAGTGTTGCGTCCTTAGGTGCACTGGCGGTTAAAGATCGCCGATCGAATAGGATCATGTTTTGAATTTCACTGTAACATTGCGTCGATATAAAGGAAATAAAACAAAAATACAGGACGAAGACAAATATCGAGGCGATATAATGAGACGTTATGAACGATTGCGGCTAGAAGAGATTAAATTTACGATCGCGATACGTTCGCCGAAACAGTTTCAACATTCGTTTTAAGGAAGAACTCCTAGTGACGGAAGAATTTCTTGTTCGCGTCGTCGGGCGGCTGATAAAGGGCGTGAATGTGTGTCGCATCGCGAGGAGCCCGTCTTACCGGTAATAAATTAGTGAACGTCCGGTGCGAAGGTGAGTCGCAATTCATGAGTCCACGCGAGACTGTTTCGTTACTGTGTTACGGTTTCGTGTTCCGGCGTCTAAGGTTCCCCGGCCTCGCTACTGAATTTTTGGTTGCGATTAAATTGGATACGGAGTAACATAATAGAAGAATAAAAGTGTTGTTTCGTATCGCGTTTTTTTCAAGAAAATTCATACTCAAGAATTGACGTATAATCGAATAAAAGTGATCAAGTTCACCCATTAGGATTCATAGTTTCTAACAGTGGAGTAAAACGACTGACTGGTTGCTCTCAAGAAAATTAATACTCATAATCATTGATATAAATCGAATAAAAGTGATCGAGTTCGCCTCCTAGGATTTACAGTTTCCAGCGGTGCAAAAGACTGATTGCAGCAGTAAAATCCACAGAAAATCGGAAGGATACACCGCGGTCGGTGAAGACTGGCATATTGAACAGTGATGAACTCGGTACCGGACGCGAATCGAATCACGTAGCGAGGCTAATACGCGAATGGTGACCGCAGTTGATACCGAGGTGCGCGTTCGCCGAGATCGTCATCGCACTATTTTTTCTTCGTACAATGGACGTTTTCAAAATCGATCAGTCGCTGAGCGCGGGTCTGGGTAGCGCCCCAGCGCCGGACACTCTTACGCCGGAAGTGTCGTTCGACGCCGGTAGTGAATTCAATTTGAGCTTCTTCGACGGCCCGGAGGAAAATAGTACCCAAGGTTTCAGTGACCCCGGTTCCGTTGGTAGCGCCAGCGCGTCACCTCCGCCAGGAACCCCGGCCACCATCCCCGTAAATCCTTCGAGCACCGCGCTGCCGATCGTTCAAGTACCGCCTGGCATCGTCATTAAGCAAGGTTTGTTTTATTTTTTTTATTTTTTTTTTTGTTTTTCTGTGCGGGATTTCATTTTTCGGACGATTTTACTATTAACTTTTTAACGATCGTCGCTGCAATTTAATGTTTTACGTGTACGATAACAATCTTGGAATATCATATTTAATTTAGATTTTAATGCAATATGTAGAAGTTACGGGGCTAGCCACGTGGTTTTTATAACATTCGTTGATACAATTTTGATGTTTTTTTGTTCGGTTTTATCGATACTCAGGCAAAAATAGTGGAAAATACGAGTTCATGTGATTTCATTCCATATTTTTATATCTCGGAATCAACACAAAATTTAACCCGGATATTGTTTTCAGAAACCTTACTTTCCAGTTATTTATTTTGATCGTATCTACGTACAGAATAACTTGCAAAAATAAGGACATTTAAGTTTAGAAATTCATTCGTTAAAAAAGATTTTAACCTATTTCCTAATCTTTGGCATGACTGAATGTCAGAGATATTTCGAAAGTTTTTAAATTGCCATGTAAGATTTATGAGTAGAGGCTCAATGTTTCTTCTAAGTCCCAAAGTCGGTTTTCTTAAATAAAAGAAGAAATTTAATATGTAAAAATATTACGAAGTTAAATGATAGTTTAATAACTATTAATTATGGCCTCTGATATTAACTACTGTGGAACGTTACTCGTTCGTATTAGGCAACAAGAGCGATTGTTTTCTCGATCACACATTACTCTTTTGATTCTTTTGGTGCCCCGTCTCGCTAAATGAATTATAATTACATAACTGAATATTTAAGTCTGCTGAATGTTTACTCGGAAAGTAACTTCAGTATAAAAATGTTTCGAAGCTTTCCTAAAATAGGAGGCTTTATTGCTCTGTAAGAGTAAAACTCTCGATTTCTAATGATATCGTTTGTTACTTTGCAATTCTGATTCACAGCGTGTTTATCCGTCGATTCTATCGTTCCCTCTTTTAGACTCTACGTAAAGGTCACGATACAAATTGAAAAGGTCGTCGAGCATTTCGCAATATTCTCAATTCGTCTCGCGGCGGGCACAATGCTATCGAGATACAATACAAATCCGCGGGGCTGTGCTCGGCTACCAGCACCATCGGCCTACCGATTTCTCTTTCAATTGAGTTTTCTTCGACCCGTACCTATTGTCTGCAGGAAATATCGGATCGAAAACTGGTTTCTTACGAACCTCCTCGTGAATCCAGTCCGATGCCCAACCCCCGACTTTCTATCTCTCTTTATTTGCAAAGAGAACGGAGGGCTGACATTTTACTGCTGAGCGAACAGTGTACGGTCGAGAGATATACAAGGCTTACATTTTTTTTCGGTTTGTGTAATACAGATTGCCTCTTGCCATGAAACATTCTTCCTTGGAAAATATGGAAATCGTGTTCAGTAATGTTAAACGAAATAGAAAAAAACAAAATTAAATACATGTTACTGTTTCATATCTACTATGCCGAAACAGATTTTCGTTTCGAAGTGTTAAAAATTGTTATCAATAATTATTTTCCCGCATTTTAAATTATAGTTAGCTTTATTTTTCATGGTGTCTGGAATACATAGACGATTTTTTAAAAGCTGTCAGAGAAAGAGAGAGAGAGAAGTACATATTTTATTGTAAAACATTTCTTTCCTTACAATTTTTGGGTCTCTAGAGTACACCCACATAATCACACCTTTTTGACATTATGTTAATATTGTATACTTTTTTAGCTAGTGCTCGCATACTTACGTACCTTTAACCTTTCATCGCATTCATTACTAAGTTTAAAGTTACTCATTGCTTCCTACATCTACTTACTCTTAATTCTATTTCTATTTCCATGATAAGTTATTTAAAATATATATATATATATATTGGATTGACCAAAGAGTTCGTGCGATTTTTGGTGCTCTGTTTGAACATATTGTAAATCGCAAAAACTTTCTGACCAAACCAATATTATATACATATATTATATCTTTTCCTAACATTCTAAATCGTTGTTAGAGAACTGCTTTCCCATCGACGAAGCGTCGATAGACGTCGAGGACCACGCTGGGGGTCATTTAAATTATACATTCGTCTAAAAGCTCCGCGGCATTGATCCGGCTCGACGATTCCCAAAAATCCAACTTTGAATTTCAATCTCCGAGCCGGTCAAGGTCCGTCGCGTCCGATTCTATCCAGGATGATAGGCTCCCCCCTTTTGGGAACGCGTGTTGATACGCGCGACAGCTCGATAACTTGAATCATCCTGAGAAATTTTGTTTTCCTCCGAGCTGCCGCGTCGCGTCTCGTCGACAACTTTCTTGCCCGAAGGACAGACAGGCTTGTGAATATTTTCTGATCCGTCATCCCTGGATCCCAGGGAATTCCCGTGGAAGCGTGGTTTGTGCCTCCGTTCGCGTAATTTTTTCGCTTGACCGCTCAACGCTTTTTCAAGAACTTCGCGAAGAAGTTTGTAACGCTACTTCGACAATGATGAACTTTCGTTGAACATCGAGAATTCGCTTAATGATCTCGTATCTTGTTGACTATTTTCTTGGCTAAGAAGTGGCAAGTGACATATTTCAAGGAAAGTGACATATTTCAATTTTTTTTATCGAAGACAAATAGATTTAGCATAATAAGTGTCTACTGAAATTTAAAGAAGAGCAATTGTTTAATTTAATAAGAATTTCAAAACGATTTGTACGATGATTTCCTTGGCTAAGAGTTTTCAAGAAAAGTAACATACTTTGAATTTGAAGTCATATAGATTAAAAGTGCTTATTGAAGTTCAAAGAAGAAATTAAAGAATTGTTATGAAACTAGATCCCAGCCGTATTTTACTCTGAGAGAAATGGATGGCAGCCGTGGACGTATAGCAAAGAATCATATCGAAATGGTAAACACCATAGGAAGGGGAGAAGCATATATCTGATCGTATGAATATTAATAAAGCACGGTAGCTCAACGCAGAACTACGTCGCACTTACATATACTCGGAAGTAGACGGTAATTATTCACATCTGATGACTAGGTTCGGAGAATTTTTCGAGCAGCTAGTCATTACGAAAGCAAATATTTCAAATGATCTAGCATGTATTAAAACGATAGTCTTCTCAGTAAAACAACATTTCAAAGTTTCAAGATTTTACTTATGTTGGACAATTCGTTCTTCTGGTTTCTTCGTAACACATGCTTTTTATTTAGTGAAACCATCTGAGTAAACAATCTCATGCATGAATCAAGATTAACAGTGAGCTCTACTCTGTGTTATATAATAAATGACTCGAACCAAACGGTGATAATAGCGAAAGGAATGAGAAAGGAAGGCGGTCAGAGAAGCACACCGAGAGACTTTTAAAACGGGATTGCGTAATCCTTTGGATTTAGTTTACTTTCGTCGGTGTCGATGCCACGCACGTAGCGTGACCGTGGCACTGAACCAGCGGCACGAACTTTCTCGTGGCCTTCGTTCCAGGAAGACGATTTACGTGACACGAGCAGGAACGCCAATGACTGCGAATGGTCATCGACGGCCCGAGCGGCGACTATCCTTTCGTCAAATCGTCGCCGGTGCGCGACGTTTCGAATTGATTATTACGGTACGGGACATGGAAGAATCAAGGTCGCGGTGAACGAATTTTTTAGAGTACTATGATAGACAAGTTTACGTAATCAATGTGGATATAATATTAATTAATTTAATTATTTATTGACCCTTGTCTTTCGACTTTGAATGGACTTCCCTATTTCATAAAATCAATTTGAATATATCAGAGATCTTATTATTAGATCACGAATTTTTATACGAACTGGAACTTTTATAGTAAATTGCAACTCAAATTGCAATTGTAACTCAGATGTTATAACATTATAACTCAACCTGAGTTTCCTATTATACTTGTCTATACCTACCTGTAGCCATGTGTACGGCCTCTCGTGTATAATTGTATTTTATCACCAATTGTGACACACCTTTAAGAGCCCTAAGGCATGGAACAAACGATTACTATTACTAGTAGTAAATTTCATACAAAATTCAGCATGATTGAGTATAATTACGAATCAAATCATGAGTTTGTGATCACTATTAAAAATTGAAGAGTTCAGAACGACAGTCAGCTCGATTTCGACGTGACTGTAAAAGAATAAATTTAGTTATTTGGCATGCAACAGTCATCGAACGATTAGAAAATTCAAATAGGCAGCCACGTAAAAATCGAGTTGACTGTTTGTCACTCTGAGCTTTTAAATGAACGGTTAGCGATTTTGAACACAGTTGCAACCAGTAATATACGATCGCGTAAAGGCTGTATAGTGTACACGTATGTTATGCCAGAATCCAATGAGTTAGACGTACGTACCACGATTCCACGCGTACCTGCCTACCAGAGCGCGGACACGGCGGTGAAGAGTGCGCGGGTATTAACGCTAGAAGTATTCTTGATCGGGGAAAAAAGTGACGCGGTATTCCATTATCCTCGTCGGTGCGATGCAAAACCGGTCAAAATGATTGGATTTTCAAGTCCCATCTCGCTCTGTCCGCGGGTTTACCGTGTTCCTTCGATTCTTTCTGCCGCGTTTGTACGGCAAGAGGAAGGAGGACGAGGAATTCGCGCGTGGAGACGCATGTGCGTACACGCGAATGTGTGCACTGTTACCGTGTGACTCATCCAGGTACATTGCACCCGGTACGTGTCCGGTACAAGCTGAAGTCTGTATGCCGCGCAGGACGAGGGACTATGTTCAACATTTTTCGATTTTTGTAACATTTAGGTATTAGTCTTATAATAATATAACATAATAGCGTCTGTTATATACTTATTATGTTAATGCTGATTTTAATTTCTTCTTGTACATCCATGATTATGTAATACTCCGGGAAAATCTATTATATTTTATCCTACCTTGGAAATAGCCTGACTTTTTTTATAATCATTATGCTGGAGTGTGAATAGGCGACAAGGCTGTCGACGAAATATGAGAAACAGCTGAAAATGGTAAGGAATCGGATAT